AGAGACTTTGCCGTTCATGCAATGAGATGTGACATCATGATAGCTGGAATTGTCCATTGAATAAATAGCTAGTATTGTTTAAGATCATGGTTTTTATTGCTTAATGGATTATCTTTGTTTTTTTCCCCGGTGGATGTAAACTGTCAACAAATTATTTTTGATGAATCTTTTTTATATAATAAAGTATCCACCTCGTTAATATCTTTACTGCTTTATACACAATATTTGTATGCATATTCGTATTCACTTATATGCACCCTGTACTTCTACACTATTAAAGTACAAGTTAATTGATAAAGGTTTTTTTCTTTAAGTGCACCATATCTCTAGAACTTCTGCATTATTAATTATTTAGAAATTTAGAAATTGTATGACTCACACATGCATGTTTTGAAGTTACGATCATTGGTGCAGTCTTCATTTTTTTACGTGCATATTGGAGTATGAAGGAGTGTACCGTGAACTCAACATTACCCACCCCAAAATGTATTACGTTTAACCTGTTTCTCAATACGTTTCTCTTTTCTAACAATTTTTTAATCAATAAATTGGCCACACATTTTTTGTTAAAATCACAGGTAAGTTTAACACAAATTTAATGACAGAATGTGACATATTGTCAAGTGGTTTTTTTAAACAAAAGTAATGACATTTGTTGAGTAAGTAATTAAAACCATCAATGCACATGAATATATTGTCAAATGCACACGAGAATGGTGTCAAGTGCACCATGCATTTACAAAACTTCATTATAAATTACTTTGTATTCTGTACATGGACAAAACGATCCACATGCAAAAGTAATTACCATTTCGAAATATAGGATGTTATGCAATTTAAATTAAATTAACTACAAGCATAAATCTAAATAAAATAAACTCATGTAAACTGTCATTCATAAACTCATGTAAATCCAGTTCCTACTTAGTTAGTTAGATTATTTAGTACACTGTCATTCATATGCACACCAAAATACATTCATGTGCATCTTAACTCCTTGTTGAAAAAACAACAATACCATTAATGATATGCCACACATAATGCAATCAAGAACATATTCAAATACACCCATTGCTTAATTCAAACACATGATACACATTCCACTACACTCATCTGCATCTTAAGTACTTCACTAAGATATCAGAAATCACATGAATGTTTACCAACAATATATGCACCTAAAAACAATTCCAAATGCACTTAACGTCTCTCTTTGCATAACAACCAATCTTCATCTGCATATTAATTCCATGACCCAAAAAATGAATAAGCATTTGAAAACAAACCCAGTCTGCTTTTATTTCACAGTTCAATTGCAGCTTTACGTAATGTCTTTTGCACCATAAAAATTGAATCTAAGTTATTTCTAAGTTTTTTCATCCACACCCAACCATTTTTTTATCTGCATTTTAACCAGCATACACAACTTCCTCAAACACAAGTCAATTGCACCTTTAGCTAATCTATTTTGCCCCAAGCAATACACATAATCTATTTACTTGCACCCTTGATTACTTCTAAGTTGCCTCAACTGCACCCCACGAATCTTAGTCTGCATACCATATCAATTAAATTGCACCAATAGCTAATCTATTTTGCACCAATAACTAATCTACTCAAACTCAATCACCAAACACGAACATAAAAACCAACATTCATACTAAGATTAGTATAATGTATTGCACCTTTACCTAATCCATTTTGCAACAAAATTTTGTATAATCAGGATACTCACTCACCAAACACGAACTCAAAAAACAATATTGATACTAACATTACTCTAATCTATTGCACCTTTAATGTAATCTATTTTTCACAATACTTAATCTAATCAGTAACACTCACCAACCACGAACACACAAACAAACATTCTCGGTGCGAAATGCACTTTTCCCTCAAATTCAACTCCATATTAGTAATTATATATTACACATTACTAAATTCAACAACAACAAAAACACAGTAAATATGAAGTCCATCACAAATGCATCCACACATCCCTCTTTGTGCATCTAACATACAAAATCCTCCATGCAAACAGATTAATCTAAACAACACAAATACCTTCTTCGCACGCCAAAGCAGCTTGTCGCAAAGCATGTTCTTCTTGAACTGAAGCCATTTGCGCAAATGGAATTTCACCAGTCGTTGATCTTCACAAACGACGTTCTTCGTCTACGCTGAAGCTTTCGCCGCTCTCAAGGAAAATTTCCAGCTTCTCAGACCTTGGCTAGTTGGAGCATTAAACAACCTCTGCATCTTTCCTTTTTCTGATTTGCTATACATGGGCGGTTCGAATCTAAGTTGGGATTATGCGCAATAGGGATTTCCTACCATTTCTGTATTATGGCGGTTCCATTTAAAAAAAATCAAATGACATCTTTATCCTTAATTACTAAACGGGTTTTAAAATACCCGTTCTCCTCCTTCGCAGCTCATGAAAGGTAACGGTGAGGAACCTGTTTTGGGCCATTGATTTGCCTAAATCGGACGCACGAAATTGATTTGCATTTTGTATGGGGAGAAGTGTTTGTATGTGATCTCTTCCCTATATATACGAAGTATTAAGCTCCAAATTGGGTGTGGACAAAACGTAGATTAGGATGCTATTTATACGTGTAGAGTGGAGGTTATAGGTCGTTTAAAACGTATCCGATTGGTTTGGTTGTATACTTGTATAGTTCTATGCGTATCCTGAGTGTAAATGTGGCAAGTGCATTTATCAGTGGCGTATCCAGAACTTTCGTTGAGGGGACAAATTTGCTTTATGAAGATTATTATCATACACATTTCATAAATAATCGATTATATTATGAAAGTGATATTACAAAAATAAGTATAAGTAGTCCATCTTTATTAGAAAAACATGACATTTTTTACTTTTCATTTCGTCTAAAAAATATTTCAATCCTTTTAAAAATATTTTTTGTTCATGTAACATCACTTTTAAAGTACAATACAAGTAAGATACATTAATAGTCGCTAATTGCAAGAAAAGATTCCATACACGCTAGGAAATTTTACATTTAGAAAAATTTTGTGAATACTCACCAGTAATGTACATATTAAATGAAAGAAAAAATTAAGACTAAACTAACAAAGGTATTCTGAATTTAGTAAAGTTGGGGCAAGTTTTAAGTAGCAAAATGAAACTAACAAAACTAAATGAAAGAAAAGATTAAACTAAACCAACAAAAGTACTTAAAATTAAGCAAAGCAAGGATAAGCTTTGAGAAGTAAAATGAAACTAACAAAATACAAGGTCTTTGCGTAGCCAGGAGTTGAAGCCACGCCTTTTGATTTAAACTCACAACCTATACGCACCATACGCCAATTGAGAAACTCATTAGAAAACAGATATTTATTATACATATAACAAAATTATTAGCATATATGTATATATACAAAAATTTATATATATATATATATATATATATATATATATATATATATATATATATATATATATATATATATATATATATATATATATATGGGTTGAGTGGGAGTTGAGGGGGGCAGCTACCTCACTGCCCCCAATGTGAATCCGCCTCTGGGCATTATGTTATACCAAGCATTTTTACATATATTATGTACATAGGTTTAGTTCTCTATTGTATAATGTCTTAAAATGTTACTTCTAGTATTAACATTTGATCTAGTCAATATAATTATCTCACAAAATAAAAATAAAAATTTGAAAAATGTCACCTTTGTTATTTAATTCAAGACTTTATTTGGCTACCATGATTATCATAAAAATGTCACTTCTATTATTGAAACAATTTTATCTAACTAAAAATGTCACAAATATTAAATTTTTATCTCATTCACTTAATTATTAGAAATGTCACTTTTGTAACATTTTATGTCACTAATAAAGTTGTTCATTTTATTTTATTTAATTTTTCCGTAGTGTTACACCTTTTCCTATCAACAAATGTGGAATTCTAAGCAACAACTTCAAATCAAATTGCTCCAATGGAAAATTCTCAACATATTCATCCCAATCGGGTTTCATTTATTTACCCTTCTATATGTCCTATCTATAGGAATCTGATAGATAATTGTTACACATATTGTATAATTTAGTAGAAATTTTTGACAAGAAATGGAAAAGGAGATAAATGTATTGTATTGAATGAATAGTTTGATTAGGGTTTACAATGTCTGCCATAAGGAGTATATATATATAGAAATAGCAGGCCAAACCGTTAATACAGGCCCAATAGGCCTAACTAAATAAAATGCTATCAATGGTGCGAAAATATTTTATACTAAAAAATGCTAATCAATAGGTCTAGGCCTAACTTCTAAAATATTTTTAAATTATGCAATTAACCCCATAATTTACATTTTTAAAAGAAATAATACTTGACAATGGTGCGAAAATAACTTTTATATAACGTTTGAGATATTTAAATTGCATATGCAAGTTTAGGGTATTTACCTTACACTTTTTTAAAGTTTGAGATATTTTTATTAATTTCCCCATAATATAAATGTTCCCTATTGGGTTTAGGTGGGTTGCTGTCCAGGCCCACTAGTAGGTAGATCAGAATTGAAGTCCATATACTCTGAGAATCATCGTGACAATATGAACCATGTGTTTTTCAGTGCAGTCATGTGAATGGGATGTGGAAATGCTACAAATCCCATTCCCCAATATTAGTTTCAGGCAAGTATTTCTAAACTAGTAGTTTCAGGCAAGTAGTAAAACTACGGTGGATATTTTCAAGCATAGTATTCCTAGAATGATTTGTTGGGAAGATTTATACTAATATTGGTTGGGGTAATTCCAGAAATGGTGCTAGGGCAGAGAATATTAAGAGCAATACTGAAATTGGGCCTCAAGTTAGCGAAGAAGAAGCTTGGGTGGGTAGGAGATATTTTATATGAAGAAAGAATGATTCCTTCCTCCCAATGGTCGGTCGGGTGCTTCTTTCTTACCTGTCGGAGCAGCCAAACGAACAGGGGAGATTGTTATGACATTTTTACCTCCCAATTTGAAATGTATCATTTTCTTTTTAATTTGCTCAATGTTTTGCTTTCTGGGTTAAAAACAAAAATTAAATTAAAGACATACAGAGATTGCAACACATACATATAAAAACACAATTCCTGCTGGCCATTTCTTCTTCAGATCGATAAACTAAAACGAACTGGCAAAAGGAACAAGCACGCCTACATATCTTTCATATCTTAGAAAATCTTCTCTTCTTCCCCCCTTTCTCAATCCCCATATCGGCTGCTTTTTGTGCCCTGGTCCGTGCGTCGCTTTGCTGCGCTATCCTGTCGAAATCATCACCTAGTTTCCTGACCGGAAGCCGCCCTCTACTGGACTCGTCATCGGCATCATCATCATCTTGGGCCTCACAAATCAAGCGCCGCTTTCGCTTCAAGGCGAGCGGGGCGGGCGGAGGTGAAGGGGATGACTTGTTGCGGTGATGCACTTTCTCTTCCTCCGCCGCCTCCCTTAACTTGCTGATGTTGCCCTCGATCCGGCCCTGAAGGCGGTGGCGCTTGAAGCTGAGGCCGCCCATGGACCAGTGCGCCTCCTCCGCCCACGACATCAGGGCATCGAAGACGGGCACGGGAGGGTCCACTCGACGGTCGTTCAACTTCACCTCCTCGTAGATCCGCGGCCTTGGGAGGCTTTTGCCGTAGAATTTGCCCGGACCTAGTGTCCTTACAACCATTTTACTTACTACTACTACTGCCGTAAATTAATGCGAAGGAAGGATGAATTCTCTAAGAATATATACAGAGAGATGCCGCCAGATCTGATTCGCATCCAAGCCAAAAATATAGCGGGAAATTGTGGCGCCAAAGTTTACCGCCGGCCGGTTGTCAAACCCTCAAAGGCCCACTACCAACTTAAAGCCCATTCGCACACCCCATCGTCTCACCACATTTTTTCTAGTAGGCCGTCAATACTCTACTCAAATACTTCCAGCAAAAAAATATTTTGACACTAAAAGATGGAAGAGAAGTATATGTCTGGTCTAAAGTATTCTGGTCTGCTAAATGTCTAGTCTCAGTACATTTTAAAACTATGGAAGTCTTGTTTGGTCTGATATAGTATGTTTAAGTCTGGTCTGGTGTGAGACCGAAAACAGTTGAAGTAAAAACATCCTAACTGCTTCGGGGTATTTTTGTAATTAAATTCAACTCTAGGAATGATGACAATGACAAACATTTTCGGTGAAACCCAAAACACCCTTTTATTGTAGCAATCTACTTCGACATTTCAGTAGCCTCACCCACAACCTCTCTTTCTCTTTGAGTACATGTGCACATATATACACGCAAAGAGAGAGAAGATCACCTTAGGTAGTTCTAACGGGAATCGCCGTCCGAGTTTGACTAATTTAGGTGCTTTCGGGTGCAAATTTTTAATAATAATTTTGTGAGTATGTTATTCATGAAGTGTAGATTATGTTCATATATAAAATTTAAGTTTAAAATTTAATTGGGAAGTCAATTATTTAAATTTTATAATGTGATTCTCAATGTTTGTATTCAAGTGGGACTTCATTAATATTGTTTGCATTTTGAATTCTACAATGTGACTCTGTATGTCAATCTTCTGTTTGTTGCAAGCAATTGTTTGTATATGTATACATATATTGTGTGTATGTGTTTAAGTATTGTTCGTCTAGGTATACATTTTGCCTGTCTAGTTATCTGTGTTTTTAGGTCCCGGAAGCAAACCACCAAAATCAGTGGGGTAAATGTCGGGGAATATTTATCGAATATTATTAAAAATGACTAAAACAAACAAAACAACTTTTGTCTGTGTTAACTTTTTATCACAGGATGGGGAGTTTACTTGTAGCCTGGGATAAAGTCTTCTGTCTCCAGGCAGTAAGCTTTTTATCAAATACTTGTATAAGCTCTTTACAGTGAGACAAACGAGTAATGCCCTTATGGGTTTGCAACCCTAGGTATCCAAAAGGAAGCTTAGAAACCTTCATATCAAGCTCATTTTTAATTTGTAGGATCCTCCCTGTCGAAACCTGTTTTCCAACCACAAAACAACTTTTGTCCGTGTTAACCAACTGACCCGAAGCTTGCTGATAGAGTTGGAGAAACTTATTAAAGTTTCTAATTGATCTCACTGACCCATTAAGAAAAATCATTAGGTCATCCGCGAAAGCAAGGTGCGAAGTATTAATACCTCTTCCGAGATTAAACACATGTCTAGTTATTTGTATGTTTGTATGTGTATGTCTAATTGGGTATACATATTGTCGGTCTGATAGAAATAATGTCTATCTGGATATACGTATCGTGCGTAGTTTGTACAAAGCATATGACATACGCGAAAAATATGTTCAACACACAAAAATACGTTAATCCAAAACTACATACAACGGTTATTCACAACAAACTAAGGTTAAAATACAACCCCTTATCAATCACACATTGCATCAAAATGGGAAATTTATTAATTTGATTAAAGCCAGCATTCTTGTTGTCACGCCCCAGACCGATCCGGACACGTCAACAACCCGCCGTACAATACGAATAGTCAACCAAAGTCAAACACATCCATATTATACAAAGCGTCTCGAATATTATTAACACATAAGTCATCCATAAACATGCATAATAAGCAATTAAATACACAGCGGAAACATAGTTTGAAATCAAATGCCACATAGGGCAAAACATGAGCACGCAGGCCCTAATTAAAATATCCATGAGCAAATTTATTAATGTTTCAAACAGAATGGAGGAAGCACGAACCAAGTCTTCTCTCCGGGAAATCACTCGATCAACGAGCACAGGATGCAAGCTCTAGCCTCAACCTGAAATGTGGTGGGACGCCTCCGAAGGGGTCAGTACTCTATAGGGCTATAAAGTACTGGTGTGGATGACATCTAATAGATATACAACAAGTATTTCAAACACAAGACCCTCAAATAGGGTGATAGTACAATATGGTTGTAACCCTAAGTTACCCTGTTTGAAAAATATACTTTTTTATATAAAAAGTCAAGTAGTCCGCCTGTGGGCCCATGTTCATTTAGAAATCACCATTCTCATTCCCCGTGACTATAAGCCACGACAACTCATAGAGTCCAACCCTAATACATGACATTGTATTCTAGAGCTCGGCTCTATCACATCACCATACAATTCATGTCACTTGGGTCAATTTCCTTATCTTGCATTCTAGAGCTCGGATCTATCACATCACCATGCAAGCCCTAGAGCTCGGCTCTAGTTATACAATACATAGACTACAAGTCTACCACCTTACCATGCATCCTAGAGCTCGGCTCTATTACATCACCATGCACTAAGTCCAATTCCTAAGCAGACCTATGCCTAGAATTGACATATCATTAAACTACCTTGGGTCATCCTTAAAGACTGCTCATAACTTAACCTTAGCTTCATACTAAGTCATTATATACACTTGAAGTATATTCAAGTGCATTGCATACAATCCAATCCTTAGGATCAATTCTATCAACAATTTCCAATAATCACTAACTACTATTTCAATACTATTAAGATTATTGTTATCATACAAATATTCTCATTTTTGTAGTTCTCTACATATTTATAAGTATGTAGCAGCAACTTAAGTATTCAATCTCAATACATAAATATTCATTTATGTATCCACATAATTCATACATGAGTAAAATGCCTATTTCACAAAATAGTTCATTTATAACTCATTTAATCTCATATTATTCATACAACCTCAAATCATTTCCAATTTTATTCTTTGGCAACTATATCAATATTTAATCATCATAATCCATGAAAAATTATGATTTAGGCATTTAGGTAATCTAATGCTTAACCTACAAGTTGTAAGCAATTAGATGTCGATCCTCACCTTAATTGCGCTTTAAACTTTTCCTCTTGATCCACTGGTCAAAGCTTCGGTCAAGGTGGATTAAGAACTGATTCCTTGCTTAAAAATGAGTGTTACACAGCCTCTTCAAAGTGCTAGCTCAACTCCTAACCGTTGATACGAAAACAGCCCCTAGAATGGGTGTTTTCCGGCGAACTCGTTTCCTAATTTTTCCAAGATTTGCTCTAAGTTAGTATCCAACCCTTACATCAATAAAATGATCTTATAAGGACATATTATACACTTGTAATAGTGTATAATAGTTACACAAACCGTTCATATCATATGGAAAATGAAAAGGAAGGGTTTGGGTTCAACTCACCTCCAGGAGGTAAAATCGTTTCTGCGAGGTTGAGTTTTCCTTCGATTATTTGAAGGCCTTACACTACTCCGTTTGCTGCAAACCAGACCTTCACGGATTCCTCGTCTTGAGAGATTTCTTTTGGTATCTTACACGCATTATTTGGACGAGTGAATCTCGAGTTATGGATCAAACAAGCAACCCTATCTACTGGAAAATGAACCTGCGGCCAGCTTCCATCTTTACCTCTCTCTTGAAGTGTGTGGCTCTCTCCTTCTCTATTATATCTAATGGTTCAAATAGGGTGCTGGGGGGAGTGTATAGGAGGCCCCAATCATGCTAAGAAAGCATGTGGTTCACAAAAAAGAAGGGTAGGATCAGGGCCGTCTAATGAATTTGGAGGCCCCGGTTCAAAATGGCGAATTGAGGCCCTCTGAAACGATAAAGAATAACAAATTTAATAATGAAATACAAAAAGACTACTCCCTCCGTCCCCTTTTAAATGGGACGGGAGATGGTGGCACGGGTTTTAAGAAAAGTGAGTTTGTGTGGTTGATATTAATTGATAAAGTAAGAATAAAGTAAGAATGATTTTGAGCCACACAAAGTTTACCAAATAAGGTATGGGGCAATTAAATAAGGACATCTCAATATGGTAAAACGGGACATTTAAAAGGGGACGAAGGGAGTATATAGTTAAATAAATTATAAGTTTTATAATGTTTAAAATACACAAATTAAACAATCTTAAAGTAATATTACATCGCTGATGAAAATCCACATGAATATGATTGTCCTCCTAGCAGTTTTCGAAGCAAAACCATCACTTAAATCTTTATACTCTATCTTGTAAAGAGCTTCATTCACAATTTGATATCATTGTCAAACCATTGAGTCTATGTTGTGACATAACACACGTTTTAGAATATGAACTAATACACAATAGATAGAAAAAGCAACCTATAACTAATACATGTATGACACATACTAAATATTTGGAGGCCCTCTATAAACGTGGGCCCCGGTGCGAAGCACCTATTGCACCTCCTAAAAGACGGCCTTGGGTAGGATGTTTGATTGCAATCAAACATGGGGTGGACCTCCTCTTTTATTTCCTTTTTGTAATGTTGTAGCTCTTAAATCAAAATGTCCGCCCCACATAGTTGTATCAACCATTTTTATTTGTCTTTCAGGTACCAAGGCCATGTGGAATGGTTCCCAATTGATCCCATTCAATTTGGGGTCCAAAATATCTACCAATACTTCCAAAAATGGAAAGATGGATCCTATTGTTTTATCTTTGTCATGAGATGTCTTTTTGTACACATTTAATTTATATAGACCAAGTCAACTCCCTACATCATATTATTGACCTCCAATATGTGTAGGATCATTCCAATAATTTACATGATGAATATTATAGAAGAAACAACCTACTCCCATTATTTAGCTCAATAATGTCAAAGATGGGACCATAGGTGTTTGTATTCTTCCCAAATCATCCTATCACTTATTTTGACATTATCATTCATGTTATTGGACTACTAG